AGTTGTTGGCAGCTTTGTGAAATTTGCTCTGGATATCTTTTTGTATCTTTCATTAAGTCTCTTTATGGCTATAAATGCCATTATCCATGGATGTTTAATCTGTTCAATTATGGACTTCTCTGATATCTTAGTTGTTACTATGAGCACTGTACATTGTTACTAGTCATGGATAAAGAAAAAGATGCAAGCTTCTTTAGCTACTTGTTATAGCGCTGTCGTTGTGAGGTTTATTTTCTTGCTGGCTTTTTGTCTACTTGACCAGGACTCTTGCAATAGTTATCTTTTCTATTCTCTCTGAAAATGAATAGTGAAATAATAAGGCTAGAAATAATGATAACTTCAGCTGACAAGTGTTTAGATCATTGTTGTTCTGGATTGGGCATTTTGCTCTAGGTGTAACATCTCATATGACATTAGTGTTATAGAGAGGAATCTAGGTCTGCACTAAGTTTCTGGTATCAGTGAGAATGACTCTCTTCCTTTAACCACTTTTCTTTATTCTCTTTTTTCTTTTTTGAAATTTTATATGATGCAGACAATTTGTTGCTTACGGCAAATCAGAAGTCTGTAAAACTTGCAGATTTTGGTCTTGCAAGAGAAGAATCTGTCACTGAAATGATGACTGCAGAAACTGGAACTTACCGTTGGATGGCACCAGAGGTATCTTGTATTCTAGGATTATCATTTCACTAGTAAATATCCGAAAATGTCGCTAGATGTACTGCATGTTTTGGTGCCTATCATCTTCTTTGATAAACTAAGAAGCATTGAAGCAGATCATGATGCTGTCACTTATGACATGACAAAATCTAAAGTGGTCATATTCAATTTAGCCTTCCATCATGTCCAATGCAAGTCACACACAGATGGACTATCTTCTGTTTAAAATAAATTGTGGTACTTCATCAGACAATAATTCGTTATACACAAGAGGCCTCAACCAAACTCTTTCTTAGAGCAGCAATGGCCTGCGCAAGTAGATTTTTGAGCTTGGATGTACTGCAGTTTGCCAAAAGCTAGACGCCAAGTTAGAAGTCATACTAGTTATAGATCAGATAAATATTCATATTTTGCCTCTTACAGTATTGCATCTGGTTTAATTGTCCCACTTCTCGTGAGTAGATATCAGTAATAGCATGATGATATTTGTGTCTTTTCTAAGGTTGAGTGCGTTCAATTCCAATGTTAACATCGTACTCCTTTAAAATTCTTCTTAATGAATGGACCTACTACGGATATGTCAAGTAAAACTATCCTTTGCCTAACCAAAACTTAGTAGTACATATATTTAAGCCCCTTGAGACCCTGATCAGTTTGAACATAAGTTATTTGTTGAATGACTATTTGGTACTGTTTACTTCTGAGGTTCCACCCGTCTCAAAGTGCAATACAAATTTGCTTGATATGCATGCATGTTTTTGTCGCTAGGTTTTGATGAGATAATGTGTTTTTTCAGCTGTACAGTACTGTGACATTACGTCAGGGAGAAAAAAAGCACTACAACAACAAGGTTGATGTTTACAGCTTTGGAATTGTATTGTGGGAACTTTTAACGAATCGCATGCCTTTTGAAGGGATGTCTAATTTACAAGCTGCTTACGCTGCTGCTTTTAAGGTGAAAAAGCTGGTTTTAGACTTCTCTGTTTCAATGTTTTAGAACTGTTGCTTTTGTTTTTAGTACAGTGCTGTAGTGGATGATTGTGGTCGGTTATGCGTCACTATTCTTGTTATTTATTCCTTGTGGTCAAACAGTTCAGGCTAATTATTTAGCCGTTTTTTTAACTTATAAGCCATTTTTGCAAGTGAGGGGATTGGATTTGTTGATGAAGGTGACATGTTTTGCATGAGATTGCAGCATGAGAGGCCTAGCCTGCCAGAAGATATACCTCCTGATCTCGCCTTTATCATACAATCATGCTGGGTTGAGGATCCAAACTTGAGACCGAGCTTTAGTCAGATCATCCGCATGCTTAACGCCTTTCTCTTCACTTTGTCACCTGCACCACCCTCCCCTTGTTCGCAGGAACCTGAAAATGTTGATCCTGAGGGCGCAGCAACTACAAGCAATGGCGCCATAACTGAGTTTTCTGCCCGAAACAGAGGGAAGTTTGGATTTCTTCGCCATTTGTTCACTTCCAAAAGGACCAAAAACTAACAGTGAGTATTAGATTTTTGGACAGCCCCTTTTTGTTGTAGATGAGAATGAGTTTGCCGTGATAAAGTACATAATTATAATCCATTTACGAGTAATCGTGGGTGGATTGAAGGCAACAAGTAGATGAAATGATGAAACAAGTTCCACAAAAGAATAGAATGATGTTAATATACTCTTTTTTCTCCCTTTTTTTGGAAAGAGTAAGGAAAAGGTAGGACTGTTGAAATCATCTAGTTGTTTTTAATGTAAAGGAACACATTGGTTTAGACACCTTTCTGATGATCTGATCTAAAATATCCTACTGATTACTATGTCGTCATTTGTTGTTTTTGTGATTGAGGGGATGGTCAAATGAGGAATCGTATTATGTGGGTGTGTGTCTGTGCGCGCGCGCGCGCGCGCGTATAAAAACTGAATCTTTGACATTCATGTTTTCGTAAAGAAAATGATGTAAAATGCGACGGCACATAAACTTCATGTTTTATGGTTATGCTTTTCTTCTATACTCTCCAATTTGTATATGCATTCCCCTTTATAGCGAGGCTGGGTCTCATGTATTGATATGGAGTTGGAGATGACTTATTCGTAGCTGGTAAATCTGGGACATTTATTATTACTCTCCTGTTTCTTAATATGAGACCCAATTATTAAGTTAATTTTATTGCTAAATATAAGATTTATTTTTTATATTTATTAATTTTTTACAAATTATTTTTATGGATACTTTTTCCATTGTAATTAAGTAAGTGAGGGAGGATAATTAAGTAAGTGAAAGAGGAAAGATATTAAAAAAGATTATTATAGTGTTTTAAGAAAAACATGTCATATTTTTTATAATTAACTGACTTATCTAACCTTATTAATCTAATCAAAGTAATTAAAAGAGTTTTATATTAATAATCAGAGGAGTATTATTTAATGATAATTCGTGAACAATATATGCATGGAGGAAGAGCATCGGAGGAAAATAGGCACAAGTAATGCATTAACTTTGTCAGCATCTTCTGAAGAGTGGCTACTGTTATTTATGGACATTTATGATTGCTTTAAGCTTTAAAGTTCAAAGAATGGAGCTTTGCCTGTCAGCGTGCAAATGTGGATTGGGAAAATGTGATGTAGGGTGAGGTTGAGACTTGGGTGGATGGAACTTGATTGAGAGAAAACTCAAATGAGGGGAAATTTCGAGCTTGTTTAGTTTTTTTTGTTTTGAAAACAATTTTTTACTTTTTAAAAGCGGAAAAAAAACTTGTTTGGTAAAAAAGTAATGTATTTAAAAAATTAAAAAATCACAATAAAGTTTTTTTATGTGTTTCTTGTTTTTGTTCGCGTTTTTAAAAAATTTTGAGAAATTTTTTTTTTGCTTATTATCTGCCGCCTATCACTGTCAGCTACAATTATTACTTGCCAAATATAATTTTCTATGGTTTTTTTTTCAAATGTGATTTTTTAAAATTATTATCTAAATATTCTCTTTTATTTTTCTGTTTTCAAACTCACCCTCCATTTCCAAGTCTAAATTATTATTTAGACCATCACATATGACAAAAATCCCAACGTAGACATTACGCTCCAGATCGATCACCTTCCCATTGTTTACTTTCCTTCTAACGTTTTTAGTTTGACCGTGTGACTATCTAATTCCACAATTTTATCTTTCCTTGTGCCGCAAGCCTTGGCCTTTTTTTTTTTTTGGCCAAAAGAGAAATTCTTATTACTTAAAGGAATTTTTGCCATAAACCTTGGTTGATGAGCTATGTCAAATTAATGAGGCGAGTTCTCATGCATTATAGGATAAATATCACTGACAGGTGTATAATAAATGTAGTTTTCTTAAAAGTATATTTATTTAGCATCAAAATGCAATTTAATTCTGAAAATATTTTTGAAAATAATTTACTATAAAAAAAAAAAGAAACATTGCATCATTATTAGGAGATTATATGATATTATTTCGTAAATATTTAGGGGCTTATAATTCTTCTAGGGATGCTTTTGGAGTTAAGATGCACTTTAATTTCAATGTTTTATGAGAAGTCATTCTGATTTACTGAAGCATTTATCAATAGAGGCACTACATGGATTCGAGATATTTATTTTTAGGCCATGTGCTAAATAAAGATATCAAACCAGTTTTTATTCATATAGTAATTCCACACCGCTAAATTTTCTTAGGAGATGTTTGGCATCATATAAAAGTGTTTTTGAAAAGCGTTTTTTTTGAAATTGATATAAATTTTTTCACATATTTATTTCGTATATTGTAAAATTATTTTTGACACCGTGATTTGATTTTCATTAGAATACCCCTTGATAAAAAAGTAATACTATTCCGGTTCTTAATATATGATTCCAATTATTGAGTTGGTTTTGGTTTAAATATAAGACTCATTTATCATATTTATCAATTTTCTCTAAATTACCCCATGTAGATACTCTCTAAACTATAACCAACTAGAAGAGGGAGATGAGGTATTAAGAAAGACAATTACGGTGTTTTAAGAAAAATGTGTTACATTTCTTATAATGACCTAACTTATTTAACTTTCTTAATCTAATTAAATTAGTTAAATAGATTTTATATTAAGCAGGAGTAATAAACTCGTCGGCACTCACATAGATACAGACTTGAGGTAAAGTAGGGGTTTACCGATTTACCCACGCCTGTCTCCCCACCATCATTTGCGGCTGCGGGCGCAGTTTCGTGGGACCCAGACTCGAATTGGAGGCCCGCACGTGTTAGGACCCCAAGTAGACGGTCAAGATCAAACGGAAATGTGCACCCGCTAACTTTCCCCAAAATGACTTCAAGTCAATGCCCCTTCTCTTCTTGCCACCACGATACATTCCTCCTTCCCTTCCATTCCTCCTGAAGTAGACCGTGGAGATATTTTACAGTGAGACGGCCCAGGCACGGGTGTTTCCAAATCCCATAAAATCCAATACCTAGCACCCAGCCACTCGCGTTACCAGGTTATTATCCATGGCTCTGAGATCTGTGCTCCTGAAATCACCTGCAATTGCCTGACTTTTCCTGAGTCAACTCCCTTCACAAACAGAAATTGAGAGCGAAGACATGAATTTGATCATTCATCCGATTCTCTCTTTTACAAGAGCTCCAACATAAAATTCCCGCTTTTCGTTCTGATTGCTGAGATAATTTGGCTTCTGGTTTTCTCCTCCACTAAATTAAATATTGGGTGGACTGGATTATTTTTTAGTGGGCTATGGGAGAGCATATGGCAGCCTTGCACACGGCTACTAACTCTGTTCAAGCATTGGGTAAAGGCTTTGATGTGAACTATGATACGAGGTTACTCTATTGTAAAGGCCTGGCGGGGTCTAGGGTAATCGAGATTGACGATGACCACCCGAGGAACCTCCGATTGTATGATGATTTAGTCGTTCCCAATGTTTCGAGGGACATAAAGAGCACTCAGGAGCCCGTCGTGCGTCAGAGTTCTGGAGTCTGCAGCTTCCAAGAGGTCGGAATTGTTGTCCACTGAAATATTTCTGTTCTGTATTTGTAACTTATTTTGTGAAACATTGTCTCTCGTCTGTAATTCAGCATGTTAATTCTTCAATATTTCACTATGTTATCGGTAGAGAACGGTTCCTTTTGTTCATTGATAGTTTTGAAGCAGATAATTGGAAAGTAAGGCCAATGGTTATTATTGGGAAAAAAAAACACAAAAAACAAAGGTCAAATGGCTTAAACTTTTATTAATTTATGTAGCTTGTTGTCATTTGGCTACAGATGGTGGAATATCTAAATAAGAAGGCTGATATACCGGGAAACTTTCCCCTTGGGAGCTTTAACTCCGCATTTAGCTTCACTGGTTCAAAACTTATTGATGCCGCTGCTACAAAAACCCTTTCTTTAGATGGCTTTTTCATTCCCCTTGCAAAGGTTCAACTTATGAAGTCCCACTTAACATTGCGAGAAAATGTGAAAAAGGCTGTTCCAGTTAATTGGGATCCACCATCATTGGCCAGGTACATCAAACAAATTTATCTGCAGACTTCAGAAACAAATATCTTTGAAATTTGAATTGTCCCTGACTTTCAGTTGCATTTTGATAGCTTTATTGAAAATTTTGGGACACATGTCATTACATCCATAACTATTGGTGGTAAGGATGTGATTTATGTTAAGCAACACCATACTTCACAACTGTCAAAATCGGAGATGAAGAACTACATTGAGGAAATTGGGAATCAGAGGTTCTCTGACACCTATAGCCAGACCATTTCAGGTCAAACAAAATCCAAAGATAAGGCTAGTTCATCTCTAATTCCCCGTACTTTTTTTTTGTTGGTGATCTTTTATATAATGCTTCTTCTTCATAGTGGCCAGCAGCACATTAATTGATTACTTTGGTTATATCTTTTGTAGAGTGTTGAACCATTTTCATTCAATAGTCAAGGGATACACCCTCAACCGACAAATGCACCATATCTTACTGGGAAAGAGGTATTGACAAATATCTTTTGACGTTGTAATTTAGTAGACCTTGGGTAGTTGGTATTGAGTTGTGTCTTCAGGCCCAAGAGTGTGTAAAGTCATGGGTTTTATCCTACCTCTGGGAGTCTTGTGTGGTCGGGAACCTGTTCCTAATGCTCCTTGCTCCTTCTCAAAGCCCAAATCTTGTTGATGAGCGCGCACACACAACAATAGAACATTGAAAGCGCTGTTTATTCTTTGCCTGGTTTGAAAACATGCCATATGATCTATATTCCCAAACATGTTGAGTTCTTTAAGATCTGAAAGGTTGTAAGTGAATTTGATGGGATTTGAACTTAGCGTGCTACACATCCAAATGAAGCAGTTTCTATTTCTTCCACCGCCACATTTCATTTGATGGCAGTAATAATAACCATGACATGCATGTTTGTTTTGCGGGTGTCACAAACTGTCATCTTGCTTGCATTAAGAGGGACAAAGTCACGGTTATGACTTTTTCTACCCACCTGTTTACATTGGTGAGTGGCATGGTTCATAAGTATTTACTAAACGACATCTTTTGTCTTTTTGTCCCCCCCCCCCCCCAAAAAATGACACTTCTGTTGGTTTTCTTCTGTAAAGATGATGTAGTTGTTTTCCCTTCCATCGTTGCCCTTCATCTCTGACACTTTGGTCAGCATCTTCATAGGGTAGTTTGTTGAATTCTGGGTTGTGATTTATGCTGCAGCATCAACCTTTTCTGGCAAGAGATTTCACACATTTTAAGAAGTCATATGTACATAAAGTATTTTGTTATAGGTTGTTATTATCTAGGTCTTAGTCTGTTTTTAGACTATCAGGCCTTCTTTCTGAGCTCCTTTAATTCAAATTGGTCAGGATGTGACTGTCATTTTCAGACGGAGGGGTGGGGATGATTTAGAACAAGACCACAGTAAATGGGAAAAAACTGTTCGGTCATCTCCTGATATTATTGAGATGACTTTCTGCTCTATGATAGATCTCCTTGATGGATTAAGAGGAAAGGAGTACTTGACTCGTGCTATTGGTCTCTACCTTGAATGTAAGGACGATTCAATCCTAACATAGATGATGTAGATTCTTTCCCCATATGCTGCGATCAGTTTAATCTAATAGTATAAATTTCACATCTAATGGACCATTGTGAACAGATAAGCCCCCAATTGAAGAACTCAGATATTTCCTAGAGTTTCAGATTCCTCGTGTTTGGGCTCCTTTGCATGACGGGATTCCTGGTCACCAGAGGAAGGAACCTGTGTGTCCATCTTTACAATTCAGCATGATGGGCCAGAAGCTTTATGTCAGCCAGGAACAGGTATGAGTCATTCTTGGCATTATCTTGTGCTTTGAGGCTTCTTATCCTGTGTCTATTTCTTTATGGAGATGTAACGTAAGGAGGGGCGGGCTTCATAGGTTGTTTCGTTGTTCTATTTTATGGATGCAGGTTACAGTTGGACGTAGGCCAGTAACTGGCATACGTCTATGTCTAGATGGAAGCAAGAAGAATCGGCTGTGTGTTCATCTTCAACACTTGGCGACACTTCCAAAGATCCTTCAGCCACACTGGGACACGCATGTAGCTATTGGTGCTCCTAAGTGGCAGGGACCTGAGGAACAAGATAGTCGGTGGTTTGAGCCAGTAAAATGGAGGAACTTCTCTCACGTGAGCACTGCACCAATTGAGAACCCTGAAACCTTCATAGGTGACTTCTCTAGCGTCTACATTGTTACCGGTGCGCAGCTTGGAGTGTGGGATTTTGGATCGCGGAACGTGTTGTACATGAAACTTCTGTATTCTAAGTTACCCGGCTGCACAATTCGAAGATCATTGTGGGATCATAGCCCAGACAAGTCACAGAAAACTGTGACTGCTGAGAACTCTTCCAACCCTGATGACTCAGGCTCTGGTTCTAGGGAAACCATCACAGGGAACAAATTGGTGAAGTACGTAGACTTTTCTGAAATGAGCAAGGGCCCTCAAGATCCTCCTGGCCACTGGTTAGTTACTGGTGGAAAGCTTGGTGTTGAGAAAGGGAAAATTGTTTTGAGAGTGAAATATTCGTTGCTGAATTACTGATTCCACGATCCATATTTTAGTATGATGATGTGGTGTGATGGTTTTTGGGAGTGTAGGTTGCAGAAGCGGCAAATTGTTTCCTCTGCTGCTGGCAGTGTTCATGCCTCATCTATATATCTGTATCTATAATATAAAATCTATAAGAAGCCATATTTATAATAGTATGGCTCATTACTCAAATTTTATGCCATGAACGAGGAGGGGTCTCATCTGGTTGGAGTTAAAAAAGAAAAAAAAATCTTTTCCACCATGATGTTGATATCTTTCAAGGCAGTGAGAGTACAAAATCCTCATACGTTCTCTGTCTTCCTTTTTTTTTTAAAAAAAAAAAAAAATCTTGTACTCCTATGTTCTCTGTCTCTAGCGAAAACAAAAAATGATGACAAGACGCTACCAAAATTAAAAAAAAAAAAAATCTGTTGTTCATGAAATATTTTAGAATGTAGATTCTGTGGCACTCTTTCGGTGCATTAAGCTCTGGGGTTTGATGGATGAGGTAAGGTAACTGAAGTAGTTTGGAAACCTGGTGGGTTGTGACAGTGTGTGGATAATTTGCTTTGTCGCCTGATTTTATTTTTACTAGCCACAAATATTTTCTTATTAGGGTTGTCAATCTGTCAGACACTACCCGATAGAAGTGAGAGGGAATTGAAGGGGAAAAGAGAAGGAAAATTTTAGTGAGCTCAATTTAAAAAATTAAAAAAAGAAGAAGCAAAATTAGTTAAAAGTTTTTATCCCCAATTTTTAATATTTTAAATTGAGCTGATTAAAATTTTTTCTATCTTCCCATTTTCTTCATTTTACTCGTACCAAACACAATATTAATAGGGGGTATCTTTCTCAGCAGTTTTCTGTTGGTGTTTGTAGACAGATTTTGAGCTCTGCATTTCGTTTCTTAAGGTTTTATCCGAGTTCTTTTTTAATTTTAATCTTAGAAATAGCATGTGAAGCAATATTTTAAAGTGAAAAAAAATTTCATGCGCTGAATTGCTCCGAAGGGGAAAAATTTCTTAAGCTTTTATCTGAGTTCTTTTTTTAATTTTCTAGTGAAAATTGCTGAGAAGTGCGCGCAAAATGTGCCAGTGGAAGGCAGCATGCCTGGGGAATCTGATTGCTTACAAGTTGTTCATAAAATTAATAATTTTCGTTTTGCCAACTTTAAATTAATAATTAAATGTACTAACTTTCACATTTTGGCTAGTCCTGACATATTTTCGCCCTTCTGCCGTTGGGAAAGAACTTGGATTCTCTCCACTACCTTCCCATCATCTTCCCCTCCACTACCCTTCTTTTCTTTTCACAACCATTGGATCAAAATTCCAATGGTCCAGATTTAACATCTTATAAAAATAATGTTATTAAAAAAATAATAAATAAATTTAAACTGTTAAAAACTGGTCTAAACAGTTTACAATTGTAATAAAAAAATTTTAAAAAAATTGCTCTATAATAACAGGCTGTAGTTGTAAACTGTTCAGATTAGATTTTAACAGTTTAAATTTATTTATCCATTTTTTATCATAATATTTATTTTTATAAAATGTTATAAGATGTTAAATCTGGACCATTAGAGTTTTGATCCAATGGTTGTGAAGAGAAAAGGAGAGTGGTGGAGGGGAAGAGGATGGAAAGGGTAGTGGAGAGAATCCAATTCCGTTGGGAAAAAAGAAAAAAACGGATGGATATAGGCGGAAGCAAGGGCATAATACACTTCACATGGGAATTACCTCAGTTGCTACATATATATGGGTAACATGGTTGATGAAATGATCTGTTGTAAAATAAATTGATATACGCGTGCCAGGTGAACGAATTGGCTATAATGCACAGCTGAAGTGTCTAGAGAGAAGTAGTATATAAATGAGTCAGGTGTTTTCTCTGTTTTTTTCTTTTTGGTTTGGTGAGTCTGTGTTTGGGACACTATATATATACAGAAACGGAGATGACGAGGAGAAAGGTGATGGTGATGTGCATGGTGGGAACGGAGAGGGCAATCACACGTGGGTAGGTTTATGCCTCTTGAACCAACGGCAACTTTACTTCAAATTTCATACTAGCTGCCTAAGTAACACCTGGATAGTTCTTTTTTTTTTGTTGGGATGAAAATCAATCTCTATTAAAATAAAGGACCACATTATAAAATTATAATACATCTACGGTGAAAAGGTAAAAACAGAGAAGAGAGGATAATCTCACAAGTAGGAGCAACTGACGTTAAAGGAAGCAAAAGACCTAAGGAGTGAAGTGATGATTATTAGCTTTTTGTTGGGGAGTTGATACGAGAAAAGATCATGGTTTTAAAAATATTTTTATGATATATGAAATAAATATATGGAGGAATCTGTCTCGTTTCGAAGAAAAATACTTTTAGAAAGCACTCTTGTACAATCCCTAACACCCCCAAGTATCATTCATTCTCTTCATGCATCCAATGCTTCGTTGGATAGAAGATTCACGTCGAACGTTGATGCAGCAACATCAGATTCTCTTGGCCTCCAATTTCTTCATCCAACTTGACCATCCTCTGTTCACACCAGGCAAAACCCTTAGCTTGATTATAATTCCAGGGGTATCTATCAGAACTCTATTTCCGATGCACAATATTGAATTTAGGGGAGAGAGAAAAGAAAAGAATGATGCTTTTGATTTCGATCAGTATATATGCATACTTCAAATAGAATCTGTTGGTGTGTGTTGCGCCAAGTGTGTCCGTATATACTCGGGGGAAAACGTCGAAAAACTATGCGGCCTACGTGAGGGTCAAAAGGGGCACGCAAACTTCAAATTTTTTGTTGCCCTGCAGCCGCAGATTCAAATGTGAACGCCTTTAACGGCTACTTTCACACCCCAAGTCTGCCCTCCTGTTTCTGGAATGCAGACCTCCAGACGGCAATGTTCCTGGAGGATATTC